GGCTGCTCTCCCCCGTAGGGCATGGGGAGCGCTTTAGCTCCCCCCCATGAGAAGCCCGGGTAGTGACCAGAAGATCCTGTCCCAATAGTTCTGGACAGGACGTTTTATTGTCATTATAGTATTACAGGGAACCCCGTAGCAGCCACATCCGTGCTCAAGCCTCCAATGAGGGAACATGAGGGAGCTGCACCCACCAGCAGGTGCGATACCTGCTACAGCAGGTGGGGGATACCGGCCAGGGGTCAGCCCGTAGCATCAGGACTGAGCTTCTTCGATGGGCCAGTCACTATGCCTCCCCTCCGGTCCCCTCCCCCTGTGAACATCAGCAGCCTCTACTCAATGTCACTCGGGGGGACCAACGGCATATTTCTAGGTGGCGGGCGCCAAGCTTGCCCAGGAAGGTGCATGAGGCCAATGGGGATTGAACCCAAGACCTCCTGAATGCCACTTGCGTGCCTTACCAACTGAGCTAGGCCGCTGGATGAAAGTCGTTCTACTAGCCCCTTTTTTTTTTTGATCTCTGGGAGATCCTTAGGAAAGGGACACACTGGACCCGGTTTCTAGACGGGCAATGGCCCGAGCATGGTTATAGCAGGTTGATTGTGGGGTGTATTCCCGGGACCAAGTCCCACTTGCAGCGGTTTAGTTCCCGTAGCCAGTACTGCACGACACTGTGTAACTTCGTGAGGCAATGTGCGGCTGGTTGACAAACGACGCGTTAAATCATGAAAAATAACAGGATTTGAACGTGCTGAATGACAGTAATGATGAAAGGCCGGTCAGTCTGGTAACCAAGGGTATGGCAGCTGCATTGTCGGGGAAAACTTTTTTTTTTTTTTTTTTTTTTTTTGTCACAGTTTATTCATCCACAAAGGGCCTCGTTCCATACCACTTGAAATGTAAGGATCCTTACAAAATCATCGTTCCACAGCACCCTTATCACGACGAAAACGAAGTCCGGAGTGTTTTCACATTTTAGGGTTGTAGGGTCCGCCCTTACAAAATAAGGGCGGCCCAAGCAAAACGACGGAAATCTCTAGGGAGCCGTCGGACGTGACTTGAAATGTGAGGGTGGGCGCTTACAAATCGCGTCATTCGTGGAGGCTGTCGGCAATTTTTTTCATTTCCTAACGAACCGCGTTTGTTCCTGGCCCGGTGCGTGGGCGACCATCCCTTTGGCGGGACACTGGCACCGACGAGACCCGGTACCGGTGGATCCAGTGCCGTTGCGAGGCAACGGTGCCCGTTGGGAGGGGAGGAACGACTTTCCGGAAGTGGCAGGGGTGGGGCGGGGGGTGGGGGGGGGGGGGGGGGGGGGGGGGGGGGGGGGGGGGGGGGGGGGGGGGGGGGGGGGGGGGGGGGGGGGGGGGGGGGGGGGGGGGGGGNGGGGGGGGGGGGGGGGGGGGGGGGGGGGGGGGGGGGGGGGGGGGGGGGGGGGGGGGGGGGGGGGGGGGGGGGGGGGGGGGGGGGGGGGGGGCGGATGGCCGTTGGCGGGAGGTTATTCAAACACAACCTTCTTCATAATCGTTAGCGCCGTCCCTGCCAACGGCCAGTCGATGGAAGTTGTCGGGACGAGAGGGCTGGACACAACACTCTCTCGGCGGCAGGGGGACTTCGGATTTGGTCGTTGGCGGGAGGTTTTTCAAATACGAAATGTGCACATCGTTAGCGCCCTCCCTGCCAACGGCCAGTCGCTGGAAGTTGTCCGCACGAGAGGGCTGGACACCACACTCCCTCGGCGGTGGCCGATCCATGTAAAGAGCAACTGCACCAGGAGAAACGTTGTCGTATTCCAAATTGCCTCCTTCGCTGCTTGTCTTCATCACGCCTGACGTGTGCGCATGGCAGACCTCCTGAGGAAGACTGCTTTGCTGTCAATCCTCCTCGTCGCTTTGCTGATCGTGATTGTGGTCCAACTTTGCAAGTTGCTGAGGCACTGTCGGGCCCGTCCGCGGAAGAAGCAAACGAGGAAGGACTGTGTCAAAAAAACTCAGGCGAGAAGAAGAAAAGAAGATCGAGTTCACTTAAACTGATTGTGGTCCAAATGTGCCAGTTGCTGAGATTTTACAAAAAGACTCAGGCGAGAAGAAAAAAAGAAGATCAAGTTCACTTAAACTGAAAATACAAGTCGCCTCTCATCAATCGGAAACGCGAAAACAAACGCCACTAAACTAACCCCCCCTACCCAGCCCCAAATCTCCACGGCGAAGCCCGAATCTCCGCACTGCAATGAGACGGCGGGATCTAAACCCGCACTAACCGCTGTGACCGTGAATGGGGGCAGACCGAAATCTGCGGGATGCAAACCAACTATCGCATTTGCATGCGCAGAGCATCACATAGAGCGAGGGCAGCCTCCATCGCGCCGGCTTGGGAAACTGGCTGCGACAAATCTTGCAAGCCAAGGTCTATGGGGACAGTGTTCCCCTCCGGGTCGCGGTCAAGCAACAGACGCTCGTCGAACAGGACCCCGGCCTCCAGCAGCAGATTGTGAATGATACACACGGCAGTGAATTGCTGCGGGAGGTTATTCATATTCGTCTTGTGATGACGAAGGAATAACCTCCACATCCCCTTAAGCCGCCCGAATGCTCTTTCCACTACCCCTCTCGTTGTCTTCGGCCGCGTGTCGAAAAGAGCGATGTCCCCCGTCTGCTCCGACCCTCCATATGGAACTACAATCCAAGTGCGGGGTGCGTAACCATTGTCCCCCAGCAGGTATTCTGTCGTCCTTMCCCCCCCCCGGGAGGATGATGGGGTCCGCCGTGAAGATGTCGCCCGCCTCTGCTCGCCTACGTAGTGAAGAGTTCCGCAGCACGCGGGCATCGTGGACACATCCACGATAACCGACGAACACGTCGATGACACGCATGTCAAGGTCGACGACGACCTGTGCAACGACTGAAAACTGCTGCTTACGATCGAAGTAGTTTTCGGACGGTGCGTTTGCAGGCTTGTCAATGTAAATATGGGTGCAGTCGATTGCGCTCAAGCAATTAGGGAAACCTTTGCCGCCGAATGCTCGGACAACCTGTAGGAGACGACGGTCGGTAGGAAACGCTATCTTCTCCGGATACGCAGCCAGTATAGCTTTTGTCACATGATCCACAGCCTTGATGCATGATGACCTCCCGATGCCGAACGACGACGTGCTGCTCTCGAAAGTCTCTCCTGATGCCCACCGGTACAACGCGTAAGCCACGATATGGTCGGGCTGCAATGGCTTCCGATAGTGAGTCAGTCTGCGCTGAATGAAAGGACTGCAAGCGGCGACGATGTCGTTGAACACCGTCCTCGTCATACGCAGTTTGTCATGTAAGTAGTCCTCGCTCGCATCGTCGGCGATGGTGAGGTCCCTCCAAGTTCCACCCGTCCTTCTTTTCACCCACCACCTCGGCGTCTCCCTCGGCATGACACCCGCCACGATTGCATTCGACAACAAGAACGGCGCATCCCACAGGCCTGGCGAGGAGTGCACGTCCATCAAAGCCTGGGCTATGGCGGCCTCCCGTCTGCCCGTCTGTCTTTCGCTTGCCCGCCGCACGTCGTTCACCATCTGCATGTGACGTGCAACTGCGAGCACCACCGTCCCTAGCAGCGACCTCTCCCTTGGCGTCAGCCTCCGCGCCCCAGGTGCATCACCGATGCCGTCTTCCGTAGCGCCCAACGAACTGGAACTTTGCGTGCAGCTCACGCGCCGGCTCGCCGGCTATGGCGACCTTTTTCCTAACGCGTCAAAAACCACGGATATTTCCTGCACTCGGCGTCGGCGTGCGCAGGCAGCGGAATTCAAATTCAAATTTTTGCCGCCGCGCGCAACTTCTTATCGCGGGACGCCGCCGTCGCGCCCCCGGCAGGCTGGGCGCGGGCCCGGAAATTGGATGTCCCATGGGCCCGCAGCGGGTGGACAACTTCTTGTCTGTTGTATTGCCTTCGCGGACATCCATGCCCGACAAACCGACCTTCTTACACCGGCCCCCCCTCACCTGAGATGTAAGGGCGGGTAAGTGTAGGGTAAGTGTAGTGCGCTGTGGAACGAAAATCGTTGTTAGGGTAATTTAATCACCTTTCGCCGGTAATGGTGCCCTTACAATGTAAGGATTGTTAAGTGGTATGGAACAAGGCCCAAAGGAAAACAGATGTCGGGAAAAACTTTTAGTTTCTGTGGAAATACAAGACAATGGACGGTCCCCACGTCTAGCCCGAATGGGGTCAGGCCACGGACGAGGACCGTTCCCTGCGAGTGAAAGAGCTCATTCCGGCTATAACAGCCAATGGGAAACCGCTACATAGCAACATTCAATCCATTCCGTTCGAAGAAAAACATAATTTGCCCTACGATCAATGTGAATCTGCGGTCAGGAAACGTGTCGCACAAAACACAGGGTCCCGAACTGAGGACTAAACCGCTGCAAGTGGGACTTGGTCCCCGAGCCCCAGTGTTTTCCTTCGCAATAAATGGTGACTGTTCTTCCAAAGAAAAAAAAAAAAAAAAAAAAAAAATTCCTACCAGCACCCCGACCTGCTCAACCCGAATAGAAACCATGGTCATTTCCGCTGTATCCAGACAGAAAATGGCGCCCAATACAGCTATAACAACCGTGCCATTTATTGGTTGGGGGGAGTTTAGGCAGACAACGTGTGCCCTTGTCTGGGTTCTCCCGTAGACGTTGCATTCGGGGAAAGACAGCAGCTAGACGTTGTATTCGAGGAAAGATGACAGGAAGACGTTGTATTCCGTCGAGCACTGCCGGGAGCACGTGCCCCTCCGGCAGTCGCCAACCATGAAACAGGTCCGGGACGTTTGCTCGTGTGTCCCTTGGCTGTGATCTC